TAGTTTTAATTTTTTGAACGATGCTTTAAGATGTCACTAAATTAAGGGTACTGCCAAAATGGTTCATAATTTTTTTTTCAATGCTTGAATACTGTATTTTTTTGCGTAATTTAATCTGTAATGTATTTTAGGATTGTAATTCCGCTCATTTTTTAAAATTTTTATTGAAGAAAATAAACTCTACATCACTTCCACAATAAGATATTTCAATTTCTTTGAAAATTACTTTAAGGGAACAGTGGACATGTAAAATATTTAATTATATTTGTTATTATTAATTATATGTCTTATGTTAGATATTTTGAACTCCGCAAAATCTTTCTCTCAAACATTGCGATAAAATTTTCCTTCAGTTTTGTCGTTGTCCAAGCTTCACAACCAAAAGACAGACCAAACAAGTTTTGAAACCATACTAGTTTAAATGGTTAAACAATCACATAGTTTCGTATTCATGGTTTTATAACCATACTAATTGTAAAAGGTTAAAAAACTGTAAGGGTATAAAATGTTCTTAACCGTCAACTTTACAGTTAACTGGATGGACAGACTGATGAATATTATTTTACCATAATTTTAAAATGAAAATTCTTATTGTATAGCATCCTGAAATCTAAGATAAGTTTTGCAGAAAATTACAACGCCCCAACAAGCTTCAATATTTCTAATCTAGTAAAGAATCGAATTTAACATATCGGACTTAAACTATAAAAAATTATGATTATTCGTTGCAAAAAAAGGAAATAAAGAAAAGAAAAAAAAACTGATTGTGCCAAATAAAAAGATCAATTATTTCAAAAACTCATTAAAATGTCAATCTTAGTTTCTTTTAAATTTTGATAACTAATCATTCTCATGTATACTTCCGGTTTAAGGAAACATTTAAATGCTCCTTAACGGTAAAAAAATCAGTTCCTTATGATGACAGTGATTTCCGGTAAAAATTTAAATACATTTTTACAGAAAATGTCAAAATGTTTTACATTTTTCCATCTGACTACTTATTAACTAGAATTTAACTTTCACTACTGCGTGTTATGATTTGCAACAGAGCATAAAATAAATTAAATATTTAGTTTCCTTTTGCTGATACAGTTTATAAAAGTACTTCTCGTGGTGAGCTGAACCGTGACAAAATAGGAAATTAGTTGTTCATCGAAGTTATTGAATATGGAAGTGATATAGAAAATTATTTCCTTTAAATTAATTACTTAAGAAGTTTAAAACAAGACGAACAGAGTGTTAAGTGTTTTTACTTGCTTTAATTAGATTTTAAAAGCTATCGTTTTGAATATTAGGAACTATAAACACAACAAATGTTTATGAAATGGTTTTTTTTGGTTGTAATTTGTTTTTAGAATTTAAGTTAAATAAGATATTTTGTGAAGATAGTTTAATATTGACTTAAATACTTTGAAAACTATTCATATTTTGGGAAGGAATTTTATTTTTAACTTAAATACTTTGTAAACTTTTCATATCTAGGGTAGAAAATTTAATTTTATGTAAAAAAAATTTTAAACTATTCTTATTTTGTGAAGAAAGTTTATTTATAAATTAAACACTTTGTAAACTATTCATAGTTTTTGAAGAAAGTTTTTTTTAACATAAATATTTTGCAAAATATTCATATTTTGTGAAGGATGTTTAATTTAAATACTTTGCAATTTATTAATATTTAGTGAAGAAATTCTAATTTTAACTTAAATACTTTGTGAACTGTATTCATATTTTGTGAAGAAAGTTTAATTTTAACTTTAATACCTTGTAAACTATTCCATATACTGTTAGAAATTAAGAAATTTTCTGAACCATATTATTGCACCCATTAGATGCATACTTACTATTTTGGTATGTTGAACCATATTATTTTACTCCTTAAAGTTTATAATAACATATTAGGGTTCAATCTAACACCACTATAATAGTTGATAATTTTAGTAGAGCGTATTAAGATTCAGAGTACTAATATTACGGTACAACACTGAGTGTATTTTAAAGAGTGCACTCATTCTTAATAATTTTTGTTATAACCATATACACTTTACCTTATGGTTGAAAAAAAGTAAGGAACAAATAGTGTAAATTCTATTGATGTAAAGATAAATCGAATACACTGAGAAAAAAAGTAGGGTCAAAACTACCAGAATATGGTAAAATTTATCGTATTTTTAGCACTATGGGAACACCAAAAACTTGGAAAATTTTACCGAAACGCTTCGGTAACGATTTTGGTAAAAAATAACAATAAAATACGGTTTTATAATATGTAATAAAATTCGGTAAATGTGGTTAAATTTGGTAATTTTATCATGATATCGTAGATGTATAAAAATCATTTTTCTGGCTATATTTACTTTTCAGCTTTGTATTTTTTACTAAATGTGAGTTAAAAAAGAACCTTAATTTTTAAAACCCGAATTTCCGGTAAACAGTTACCATAGGAACCGAAAAATTGTCTAATAAATGGTTTAAAAACCGTTTATTTTGGTTTTATTAATCAGAATAACGGTTTTTTTACTAGAAATATCATTACTATACAGTAGATACTATATTCTTTTCTCCGTATATTAATAAATAATTCGAGCTGAATATACACGTTTACTCGCACTTTAGATATTTTTCACCCCTTCTCTACCAAACATAGCTAAATATTAAATTCTAACTGTTGGCTTTAGTTACCCACATTGAGGGGGAATATAAGTTACCCTTCTTACTCTTTAATTTATGTTTCTTTTTCCTTCTTTAATGCAAGTTTTAGTAAGCTTTCCTGCATATAATCCAAGTTTTATTGAATTAATTCAATAAGACTTAGAAGGGTTCTGAAATCGAAATGTTGTTTAAGTAACCCTGCTTAGTGACGATATTTATTTTTACTCTAAGGAAAATGTTCATAAACCTGAAATCATAATAAAAATACCTTTTTTATGTATCAAATACAAAAGCATTAAAGAAGATTATAAAATAAACTTCCCATCATTTAAAAGGAGGTAGATTTTATGAGGATATCGTATTTTTATTAATTTGTGTATTTCGCTAATTCGTGATTTCTTTAGTTCTCAAAATATCGCAGGGAAATGAAAAAGTTATCTTTGTAATACATTTTGTGTGTGAAGATTGAGTCAACCGTAAAATCAACATATTTGGTTCCTCTAATTTTTCATTCATATGACTTATGAATCAGAGGAAATTCGCTTCACGTTTTCATTCATTTCTTGATTTTAAGCATGGATGAATATTCACGATACTTAGTTTAAAAAAGATCAAGTGGAATTATAATTTTGAAGTATTTAAAGAGAAATTAACATCGCAGATATAAATGCATGGTTGATTTATTTTAAATATGAATACTATATGTTAAATATTTTAAATATGAAATATGCCTTTTAAATATTATTTTAAATATATGAATGCTATAAAATTAATAACAGTATAGTTAAATGGAAATTTAATAACTGTTTATATTAACACAGTAAAAGCTTTTTAAGGGCTTCTGTGGCATCTTTAATAAAATCGAGCCCCGAGAAATAGAGCTAAGTGCTGGGTTATGATCAGGTGGTGTGTGGGGCAAGTGTACGTGAATCAAAATACAGGGTGTCCGAAAAGTGCTGTCAAATATCTCAAGAAATTCGCACCGTGTGAAATATTTTGAAAAGAAGCATTCAATAATGACATACTTGACCCTCTCTCTGTCTTTTTTTCTTTTTATAAAAGTATTTGATAGTCTCCGGTGGCAACACTTCTTTTTCTGGTGAAGAAATTAATTTTAAAGTCGGGTATTCAGTAATTGAAATAAACTGAAGGATGTGTGATACAATCATGTTTAAGACATCCTTGACATACGTTATGTAAATACGGTAAAGAATAAAATATCACACTATGTAATTTTGTACTTTCAAGATTAGTTTAAATTTCGGTAACATTAAGTTAACACATTTGCGTTATCTAAGCTATTTTTGCTTGAATACGATCATGAGACATACTATACTATAAATTCTTACGAAACAAACAACAGTACATGTTTACAAGTTCACCAAAAATGGTGATTCATACCTCTTCCATATGAAATGGCATACAGTATAAGCAATTCAGGATCAAATTACGGTAAAAATTATCGGCACTCATCGTGCTGGTACTTTTTACCATAATATTATTTTTTCCGAAACAAGTTATACAAAACAAAAATTCTGATATAGCATAATTTTTACAGTAATAATTACAGTAAAATCACTGAATTATTCTCGTTAAATAAATATTATTGTAATAATTACGGTATAATATTTTACGATAAAAATAGATTTGACAGATGTCGCATTAAAAGTTCCGGTACTTTTTACCGTAATTTGATACGGAATTTTTTAAAGTGTAATGCAATTCTAATGCTCTCAGAAATGCTTTTTTTTCTTCCGCATGACGGCATTTGAACACTACTATCTCAAGACATGGGTAAAGATGCTATGTAAAGACTGTTTCAAAAAAAAAATTTCTGAGACCAATTCTGAGTACTTTTTATTAAATTTACATTCGCACAAATTTTATATAAAAATACCTCAACAAGAATGAAACTTAAACTGAAATAAACTGTTTCAAACAAAAATCTCAAACCTTTATATATAGTAACAAAATGCCACAGTTTCATAATTTTATTATATTTTATTCCATGGTTTCTTCACATCACATACCTGACAGCTAATCTAAATTACGTTAAAGTTTTTAGAGTTTAAAATATTTTAAACTCTAAAAACCATTTTTATTTTATCATTTTTATTTAAATTTTATGGCTTACTGGTAATTTCAGTTTAGTTTTAATTTCCCTATCCGCATTTCATTATTTATTTTGATAAAATTATTTGACAATGTTCTCCGATAATCTGACTAACCGATCTAACCATTTTGTGATCTTAGAGAATCATTAAGATTTCTTGTCTTTTATACAAATTTTTGTTATATTTCACATAAATGTAAATCTTTTATCTTTTTGATAAAAATTTCTTATTTTTCAGGCGGCTCACATGACATCCCCAATTATACTTCTGTGCTTGTTTATCATTGTAAATGGAGTAAAAAATGAAGATCAAGATGCTGATGCTTCTAAAATACTGACCAAGGCATCCAAAATATCCGAACTTTATATTGGTGATTTATTGCGAACAAATGGCAAAACAGACCTAGACTCTGCCAGCACACACCATTATCAGGCATCTTCAACACCAAATTACATTAATGCCGACAAACTATTGGGCAATGTTAACAATCCCAGGCAATTAAGAAACCCTGCACAGACAAGATCGGAATATCTTCCTCCTTTAGCTGAAGATTTTCAGATTAATAGGGAAGTGAAAAGGTCCGAACAAGTTCCTGTAAATATGTTCGAAACATTCTTAGAAAAACAAGGCGGTATATTAGAAAGAAACGTTTTAGCTTCTGAACAAAGCCCTCCTCCATCTCGAAGATCATATTCTAATGATTATCCACACAACGAAAAAGCAAACTGCAATAAAAATTTACATCAAGCTAGCACTAATAAGCGTCCTGAGTATTCCCATTCGCGAAGACGACATCCTCAACAATCTTCTCAATCCGAATATGACTCACCACCCAGTCATCACCCATATACCACCAATGAAGGTGATTCTAGACCCTATTATTCAAGTCACAGCGATAGTGGTCCGGTTCATACTAGTTCTAAAAGTAAAGCTATTGATTCAGATTCAGCATCTAAATCTTTAAGTTCGTATACGAAGTCAAAAAGTTTTTCTAAATCATCCACATCAACTCCCAATAGAACTCGCCAAAAGGCTATTATTCTAGGACCACCGGGTCAACAAAACTACGAAACTCCATATAATCCAAATAAAAGCGAAGAAGACAGTAGTGCGTATAGTGGCTCTTATGCTCCTAACAGCTACGAAAATGATGCCCCTGGTCAGCGTGAAACATATCATCCATCAGGTCATCCTGATAGGTCTTATCGAGACTATTCACCCCCTGACCATACCAGACCAGCAGGAGCGAAACACCATTCACTTCCAAAAGCTGGAAAGACATATTCACCACAACCCGCTCCTTACTCAACATTAGAACATAGTTCTGGAAATCAGCATTCTCATTGCAGAGGCCCTCATTGTAGTAATTCTTATTCACCATCCAGAGAGCCTCAGCCAGAATATTCTCGCCATCAGCAACCTGAAAGATATGAAGCACCAAGTAGACCTAAACCCCATAAGCAAAGCCGACACAGAGGAACTCCAGGCTATGAAGCACAACCCCAATACACGTTAGAAAATGGACGTCCAAGTCAAAATTATGGACCATATCCTCCTGAAAGAAACTATGAGGGTCATCCCTCAAACTATCAGAGAGACGCACAAAGAATAAAACATCCTTCAGAAGGAAAGCATAGGCAACAAAACTATGACTCTCAAGGAAGTAGGCCTTCTCCATATCCTGATCAATCAAGGGAAGGATCAAATTATGAACCAAGATCACTTAAAATTTCTCGGCCCTTTGAAACATATGATACACAAATTAGGCCTAGTAGAGAGGTTAAGCCTCGAAAAGAAATGGTATACCAGAAAGACGCTAGGTCACCCACATCAGACAGGGAAATTCCATCGGTTGAAGAGAGCCGACAAGAAGGGAAACTGCCAGTTGGATCATCTACATCAAAATCAGTATCATTCTCGGAGAGTCGAAGTTACCATTTAGATCATGATGATGTCTCTCAGCCTGCCCTTCCTCACGGCCAACAAATGACGGATCAAAACCCAAGAGAAGTTCAATCTAGAAATCCAGGACACGCTATGGCATATAAGCCGTATAATTCAGAATACCCTGCGAGCTATGCCAATGAACAACGTCAACATCCATTGCATAGCAACATTGAACAACGTCAACATAAATTGCATAGCAACATTGAACAACGCAACCAGCCATTGCGTAGACCTCAGCTCTCAAACAGTCGATATCCAGAACAGCGCGCAAGTCCTCAAGCAAGAGGTGATGGATCAGCAGGTCACCATGTTAACACGAAAAGCACCCATGAATATAAAAGTGACATAACTGGGTATAAAGATGAATACGCTAGCCATGAACCATTGGAACTTGATGATGAATTTTTTAGAAAGTATGGAATATCCAAGAAAGCTAAAATAATTGTGGCGACTGCTAAACAACCTAATCTTTTCGAAGCTGATGGCAGTAAATTGAAAGAAGGCGAATCCAATGCAGGCCTTCATCCCGAAGAACCATATAGTCCTGAATCTTATGGTCAAGGTCCTGAATCTTACGGTCCTGAACCATATCAACACGGACCTTACGAACATAATCCTGAAACGTCACTCGAGCATAATCCCGAAACCCCATATGGTCATAAGCCTGAAACCCCATATGGTCATAAACCTGAAACCCCATATGGTCATAATCCTGAATCATCTTATGAGCACAATCCTGGAATATCATATGGATATAAACCTGATACCCCTTTTGGGCATAGTTCACAAGAAGGTGGTGAATCAATGGATGAATTTCCAAGCTTGTATCGCCAAATGGAATTGGCTAAACCAATAAAAATACCAGGCTCGTTTGATGCTCTTGTAAATGCTGATCCATCTTTTTTAAGAAACGTGGGATCATTTGAGCTTTCAAACCCAGCCGAATCCTCGGGAAGAGTGTCAGTGAGCAACGACGATAAGCAACCAAAATCCTTTGCTGTCTCAAAAGGAGCTGGGGAACTTATCCAAAAACATGGAGATGGGGTCAGTCGAATCATTTACAATAAGGGATCCCACACCGACAGTGAAGCTTACGACGAGTCAAAGAAGGTAGAAGAATTCCAAGCTCAAGGAAGTCAGCCAGAAGGAACGAAAGTAGAAGTTGACAAGTCACCTGAAAATAAGGATAAACCAGAGAAAACTGCGACGTAAATTCTAGAGCATTCGTGGTAGAAGAGATGACATTAAAACTTCAAGCAGAATTCAACTCTCTGTGCAATAAACTAAAAGCATTTAAAAACTATTATAGTCAAGCTAAATTAACTTGTGTGATAGCCTCAAATTGCACGTACTGATGAAGATTCATGCATTTTTATTTTTTGTTGAAATAATTATAGGTATAATGCGCCTTTAAAGTTATGCAGAGGTGTTAAGTACGCCAATACTCTTACTGAATTATAACGTTACATTTTTGAGAGACTACTTCTCAGGATAGACCTCATTCAAAACGACAAGTTCTCTGATTTGAAATTATTTTCCGAAGAAATTCAAGTCATTCAGATCAACTGCTTACACATCTTTCATCCACTCAAGCATAATTATGCAACTTACCACAGGAAAATGTTTATTTATCACGAAGTGCTTCTAAAAACATTTTGCTATTTAAAAACATTTAAAATAAAAATATGTTAAAATATGTATATAATAACAATAATATTTTCAATAATTTTCTTTTTTAAAAAATGAATTTGTTGCTTGATTTTAGATTTATTGCCACTTTTGTATATAGTTCCCAATATAGTTTTCTCTTAAAGAGCATAAACTATATTTATTGTAAATAGAGTTACAGTATATTTTTTGTATAGTTTTTTTTTAAATATTTATTTAAGATAAATAAATATTACTTATAAACATATGATCTGTCCAGTTATTTAGTTGAAGCAACGCATTTCAATTTTATTTAAGATTAATAATATCTTACTCAGAAAATTTTAGATACTTTTAACGCAGAAAAAAAAGCATTTACAAAACTATTTAAAATTTACTAAGAGCAAAAATGCTAATTTAATAATACTTTAACCCCAAGAATGAGAAACAATGCAATAAATAATTCGTTAAGTGAAAGCAATAATTAATAAAGATGAACAATTTTATTTGAACAATTTCATCAATTGCACATAAATTAAATATTTAATGTGTTCATTATAGCTACTACGTTTTAAATAGAATTTTACTTAAGAAAATATTATATTTTACTATTTATTCTTAATAGCATTTTATGTACAATGCAAAAAATTCCGAATAAAATTCCGACATAAGTTTTGGAGCATCACCTGTGAAATCCATTTTACCATAAAATCCATTTTTACCGTAAAATATTAAACCGTATTTTTTACAATAATATTTATTTAAATAGAGTGATTCAGTGATTTTATGGTTGTTACTGTCAAAAATCGGTACAGCAGATTTTTTGTTTCTTAACCGGTTTCGGTAAAAATGGATTTTACGGTAAAAAATACCAGGTAGAAAGTTAAAGTAATAAGAAATCTCAAACAAGTAAGTTTTAATCCAATGAATGGATAATCGAATATTTAATAGTTCGAAAGACTTAACTTAAATGTTCTTATTAATATATGTTGACGACAACTAGGTTCTAAAAGCAGATGTAAAAACGTCTTTCTCTCATTGAGAGAAGAAGTATAATCTAAACTACCATATTCAAATAAAATTTACCGTGTTTTTGACTCTATTGGTACACAAAAAAGTTCAGAAATTTATAACGGAGTGATTTGGTTATAATAACAATAAAATATAGCTTCATAATGTGTGTTAAACATTGGTAAATGTAATAAAATTTGGTAATTCTATCCTGATACCTTAGAGCATGGCGTAGAAACCATTTATTCGGGTTTAATTTAATTTTCAGTTTTGATTTTTTTATTTAATGTGTGGTAATAGAACTATAATTTTGAAAACTAGAATTTCTGTTATGAACAGAAAAATTACCAAATGAATGCTTTAAATACCGTATATTTTGTTTTTTATAAACCAGAATTTTGTTTTTTATTCTTACCTGACAGGTCATTACCATACCTTACTGTAATTTTACCAGATTTGCTTTATCCATGCTTGATAAACAAGAATTTTTTTTGTTGCTGGAATCGGATTTAGCACTCAAAATACGAGAGGGAAATAATCACAATAGGAATATGTAGCGCCAATAGTTTAGCCAAATGATCAAAAGTTTTTTGTAATTTTCAATTTTTGTATTTTAACCGAGCGAATTTTAAGTTTTTGAGCATAATTATAAAATTAGTTTTCCCAAAGATATTTTAGTGAAGGAAATAATATTCAATAATTATTTAATAGCCTTTAATGATTTTTAAACCTTTAATGATAATTACCTTTATGATAAAACATTTATTGATTTTCATATTATGTAACTTTCTTCAATATTAACTGATGAAATCTAAACTTTGAACGAAATGGGTTAAATAGTTTCAGAGAAAAATAATTTGAAATATTTTATGCTTCAATATTTGTTTCTAAAAATCATTCAACTGTTTTTTGTAACATCATTTGTTATTTTAATAATAAAAATGCTAAATAATTAATATAAAGTTTATTTTGCATGAAATTACCTTTGGTAAAACGAATCCTAAAACTGCGTGCAAAAAGTGTTTAATTCGTTCTAAATAAGTAATAAAGACATGGTAAGAAATTTAACACATTATAGGATAATAAAGATGAGTAACTCGAGTATGTATTATTGTCTTTTTTTGAATTTTAGATAAGCGCAGCAAATATTTTATTAAATCGATGAATAAAATTGTTAGACCAAAATCTAATTCTATTCCATATGTATTTCCACCAAAAGCTATCAAAATACTAAAATAGTCATTTCAACCAGATTTTTTCTTTTAAACTAACAATAAAGACTTTTAGATGCTATAGAAATTAAAAAGTGTAGCATTTCTTGAAAAATTAAACTTTTCTGAATGACTCATTAACAGTTCTTTCATTATATTTTTACATGCTGCGTATTTAATAATCTAGATTCGCCCAATGGTTTTTTTTAAATATACTTTTTATAAATCAAAATGCTTTAAGAATATATATCACTAAATACCTAAATACACTATTTAATATTTATGAATTCAGGAAATTAATCTCGCTCTGAGCTTCTAAAATTTGAAAGAGTAAATGGCGTTTCGATTTGAACTGATTTTAAGTTAATCTTCACAATAAAAGGTACTCCGTTTATAGCTAGTTCGAAAGCAATCATTCTTAATTTTTCTTTTGGTACTGTTGAAGANGAAATCTAAAACTTGAACGAAATGGGCTTAATAGTTCCAGAGAAAAATAATTGTTGTTGTCGTGTCTATGCATACAGTGCTAGTGCAAAGATTAGAGTCCTCCAAAAGTCTTGATAACAAGATTTGCAAGTTCTGGAGCCCGATGGCCATGGAGAATTTCGATGGGAGGTGCTCGAAGTTGAAAGAGGGAGCCGATAATGGCCTGGCAGTCAAAAACATGGTCTGGAGTTAGTTGCAAATGAGGACAGTACTTGCACATGGGATAGAATTTTATATGGGTGCGTGAGATCTTCATGCCCTTGAAATGTCCAGTAAGTAACCTAGCTATTGTAGAGGAGAGGTTTCTCGGGCAGTTTAGATCGGGGATTGTTGCCTTGCTAAAAAGCTGGAGAAAAATAATTCAAAATACTTTATGCTTCAATATTTGTTTCTGAAAATTATTCAACTGTTTTTTATAACATCATTTGTAATTTTAATGATTAAAATGATAAATAATTAATATAAAGTTTATTTTGGATGAAATTACCTTCGGTAAAACGAATTCTAAAACTGCTTTCGAAAAGTGTTTAATTCGTTATAAATAAGTAATAAAGACATGGTCAGAAATTCAACACATTATAGGATAATAAATATGCGTACCTCAAGTATCTATTATTGCTTTTTTTTTAAATTTTTGATTAGCGCAGTACAGCAAAATCTGGCATGAATACCATTTAATATTTTAATAAATCTATCAATAAAATTAGACCAAAATCTAATTCTATTCCATATGTATTTCCATCAAAAGCTATCAAAATACTAAAATAGTCTTTTCCTCCAGATTTTTTCTTTTAAACTAACAATAAAGACTTTTTGATGCTATAGAAATTAAAAAGTGTTACTTTTCTGAATGACGCATTAACAGTTCTTTCAATATATTTTTCATACTGTGTATTTAAAAATCTAGATTCATCCAGTGTTTTTTTTTTAAATATACTTTTTATAAATCAAAATGCTTTAAGAATATACATCACTAAATACCTAAATACACTATTTAAAATTTATGAATTCAGGAAATTAATCTCACTCTGAGCTTCTAAAATTTGAAAGAGTAAATGGCGTTTCGATTTGAACTAATTTAAAGTTAATCTTCACAATAAAGGGAACTTCGCTTATAGCTAGTTCGAAAGCAATCATTCTTAATTTTTCTTTTGATATGCCAATAAGATTTAAGAACAATTTATAAATCTTAAAGAGAGCAGCAACAAACAGTTAATCTCAGACGACCTTGCATGGCATACTTTAATCCATTGAAGAGTTCTTTTTATTTGTTTTGATAAAAATATACGATGACAATCAACTTTTAAAAATTCTGAAGATTTGTTCGAAAAAGAAAATTACACTATGAGGAAAATAAAGAAAGATTTACGTTTTTAAGCAATCTTAAGAACACATCTATTTATGAAGGTGGAAATATATATATATTGAATTGATTTTAAAAATAAGCTAAAGAAAGCTTTTCAAAACAGAGCATATTCTGATTTTTCTGTAAATGGATTACTAAAAATAAATGTTCTGGATTTCAATGGTACAAGTTATGGTAAAAAAGACAATTGATAAATTCAAAAATCAAAATAGTTTTTAAAAATATAACAAAAAACATATCGTGTGCTATTTTTTCAAATGTTTGTGGGCAATTATCTTTAAAAAAAATTACGGGAGCTCAGATAAAGACGAGCGATGACTGATGTATTGCCACTTACACTGAAAAAAATTCCTGATCAAATCTGGTCAAAAGTACTGCTAAATAAAATAACGATGGCCGAGATAGCCTGGTCGGTAGGGCGCTGAGCCCATGTCCGAGAGTTCGTGGTTTCGAACCCCGCCGGCCGCAGACTCCCCGTGTAGTAAATGGTGGCTGAGGTTCGTTAAATCAGTCGAGTCACAAAGTCCTCCACGTTCCCATATCAAATTAATACCTTTGGGAGTACTGGATTGGAGATTGATCGTTCTCTGATTCAGGTTAAAATTACGATCTGCGGATGAATTAATGGATGTATAAATGGGTCCGCCCTATAAACGGTTGCAACGTTTGGGTGTGGCAAAAGTCGAATTCTAGGCCATAGATGGCGCTACTGGAAAACAAGAACAATCGCAACTCTCTGCATAAACAATAAAATAACACACTAAACCAAAAAAAAAAAAAGGGACACAGTTTTTTGTGCAAACGATTCGATAAAATTCATATTTTCGAAATCAATTTGTTTTTCATTTAATTAGTTTGCTTTTTCAAAATAATCATATGTATATACAATGCAAAAAATTACGGTTAAAGCACCAACATTTAGGGAGCCCGGTACATTTTACAGTTAAATCTATTTTTCTAGAACTTGTTACAGAAAAGAGATTTTAGTACAGTTTTTTACAGTAATAAATTACCGTAAAATCACTGAATCACTCTAATTAAATAAATATTTCTTCAAAAATTACAGTATTATATTTTATGGTAAAAATATATTTTACGGATGATGCAACCTAAGTGCAGGTAATTTATACCGTAATTTGATCCGTAGTTTCTTACAGT